GAGAGAGAGAGAGAGAGAGAGAGAGAGAGAGAGAGAGAGAGAGAGAGAGAGAGTGTCTAAAGTGTGCACCATTAAGCCAGGCTCCCTGTTTCCTTTTTGTCAGTAAACTCTTGGTCAGCCACTGGGTCTCGGTCTAAACCCAAACACTTGGCTATAAGCCACCAATTTACCACAAGACTCCAGCTGGTTCATCATCTGACTCACTAAGCTATAGTTTGACATTTCATGTAATACACCATCAAGGAAAAATGGTATCTACAAGAGTACAGTGAGTTAAAAGGCTATAGCCCTCATTCCTGCTACTGGGCCTTCTCTCTAAAGCCTGCATCCGTGGCCTCAGGGGGAGCTCCTATTAGCAGTTCACAGAGGAAGATAAGTAAGTTTGGCTGTATCATGGTTTTCAAGCACCACCTGAGGGTGCACAGCTTCAACATACAGGCTCTCCCCAGGATATTCCTGAAGGACAGCAATCCTTCCCAGTAGGCAGGACTCCGGGTAGTAAACTCACTTTGTGGAAGAAAACAACTGGGCAAATATGCAACTCTATTCTGATTCACATGCCACAGGCAATGGCCTGGCTGGATGGCAGACTAGACAGCCTGTTCTGTAGACAGCAAACAACCTCAATCTCTTTCTTCTGTCGTCCCTATAATTGCCCAGGGGATTCAAGAGCAGTGTGGCTATGGAGGCAGGCCTCAGCAACGTGAACTTCCCACTCAGCAAGGCTGGTCTGGCTGAGCTACTGCTAAGTGTCCACTCCACCAGCAGCAACGCCCAGCACTGAGCTCTACCACAGTGTCGTTCCCAGGATGTGTAGCCAGAGACCTGGTGGCAGACTGACTAACATTGGTCCACTGCCATCATGGAGCTGACATCACTGTATCCTTATTAGAACAGATATTTATTTATTCTGAGTATGGACTTACTTTCCCTTCATGTAATGCTTCTACCACTACAGCTTATGGACCACAGAACGCCTTATCCACAGGGATGATATTCCACAGAGCATTTTTTCTGCCACAAAAAAACTCACTTCACAGTCAAAGTACTCAGTGGGCTTGTGGTTTTAAGATTCATGGATCTTACCATGGTTTCACCATCGAGCAGCTGGCTTGACTGAGCAGTGAAATGGCCTTTTGAAGATTAATTTACAGTACCAGCTAGGTGGCATTAACGTGCCAAGCTGAAATGAGTTCTAGAAGGCTGAATAAGCTCTGAATTGAAATTCAATAAATGGTCATTTCTGCCAAGGCAACAGTTCATGAGTCCAGGAATTGAGAGGTAGCGGTAAGAACAGCATTGCTCATCATCACCTCTAGTAAAACATTTACCTCCCTTCCCAGGGCACTGCGCTCTGCTGCGTGTGCCTCACAAAGTCTTGATTCCAGAGTGGGACATTTCCCTACAGGCACTGTCATGGCTCCACTGGACTTACAGGCACTGTCATGGCTCCACTGGACTTCTCAGGCACTGTTACCATGTTGAGCCCTCCAGCTCTGGGTCAATGGGTGAGGAAAGGAACAACGGTGTTGACTGAGGTTAACAGGCCAGACTCCCAGGGTGTACTGGATGACTATACCACAGTGGAGGTCAGGAAGATTCCTGAGGTATCTTCTGGTATTACCATGCTCTGTGATTATGGCCAGAGGGGCCAGACATGGTGGAATATAAGTATTTATTTCCTTTGTCTTTAAAATAAAGGAACATTTTATTTTAAAAACTCAAATATGGGGCTGGAGAGATGGCTCAGTGGTTAAGAGCACTGACTGCACTTCCAGAGGTCCTGAGTTCAAATCCCAGCAACCACATGGTGGCTCACAACCATCTGTAATGAGATATGATGCCCTCTTCTGGTGTGTCTGAAGACAGCTACAGTGTATTCATATATAATAAATAAATAAATCTTTGAAAAAAAAAAACTCAAATATATTTCTAATGAAAATTCATGTTGATTTATTAAGCATTCACAGACTGTCAGGCTCTGTATAAAATACCAAGTCTGTTCATGCTCTTTTAGAGCAAAATCTACTGTTGTTCTCCACTTGTTTTTACATGAGACTGACATTTCAGTTCCACTGTCAGAATGACATCATCAAAGTTGCTTAAGACTCAAGTTTCCAATCACGGAAGAAGCCCATCCCACAGCTAAAGAGGAAGTGTGTTAGTTGTGACATCACCTCCTCTCTGCCCTCTAAACCCACCACTTTCAGCTCCTCATCCTTGACCTCACCACCACTTCTAGCAAGACCTTTCTCATCTGGAGGATGAGGCAGAAATCTCTGCAGTGGCAGCAACTTTTAGGGGTCAATATAACTTATAGGTGTCTATATGTCATTTTTAAAGTAAGCTGTCTTCAAGATTTCTAACAATTTAAGTGGAAAAAAAAATCTCTGAGTCGTTCAAATGTTTCATCCATTTTTCCAATTTGTCTTTTGGTTCCTAAATAAGCAGAAGTGTTGAAAAAAGGCACCTTGAGCTGCAGAAGTTGCTCTGGTTCAGAGCACTGGATGCTCTTCCAGAGGACTTGCATCTGCATGGTGGTTCACAACCATCTGCAATGCCAGTTGAAGACCTGATGGATGCCCTCTTCTGGTCTCTGTGGGTATGCACATACATTCCAAAACACCAATATACATAAAATTTTAAAAAGAAGAAAAAAAAAGGCATCTTACTGTCTTCTATGGTACATTTACAAACTCATCTCCACAGGAATGCAGGACTCTTCAAACATGAACACATGCTCTCGCTACAGAGATGACTCTATCACCCAGCCTAATGACCTGAGTTCAATTCCCTGGGACCTAAAATGGTAGACAGTGAGAACTTATTTCCAGAGGGTGTCCTATGACCTTCATAAGCATGCTACAGCATGTGTATGTCTGCCCCCCCATATACACACAAACAAATTAATGTAATACATTTTAAGTGAAAATACACGGTGTGCATCTTCTGAAGGCTTTTGGTCTTGGCCTTTGTTATAGCCTCTAGAGCCATCCCCTTGCTGAATCTCTTCCAATGCCTCTGAAAAGTGGCTGTTGCTATTACCATCAAGGCTGAAGCCATCTCTTCTGCCACTTCAAATAAAGACTACAACCTCTGCTTCAATAAGACAGGATCTCCCCTGTCAGGGCCACACACTTCCAGCCCAGGCCTGCACACTCAGTCTTTTTTGTTTTCCTGACAAGTTTTCATTGTGTAGCCTACAGGGTCTCAACACTTGCACTCTCTGTGACTGCTATGACAATGTCACATGACCATGCCCAATTGATCCTTTCCTACTTTGTTAATAATATGTGTGTAATATAGACACATGTATGATGCAACTATCTTTTTTTCTTTCTTCTCCTACTCTTTTGTCATATAACATAATATTGATTGATTATTACCAAATCTGGATTAAAGTACTAAAGTTATAGATATCAGAAGAGTGAGCATTCATTAAAAGTTTATTTGGACAAGGCGGCACAGGCACTTGGAAGGCTGAGGCAAAATTGAGGTCCTAGAACTCTGTAGTTTTGGCCGCAAGCTCACAGAAATCTCCCTGCCTCTGTCTTTCAAGAGCTGATTAAAGGTGTGCACACAGCCTTAAAACAAACAAATGTTCCCTTACATACTTGGGAAGAATAGCACATTTGTTACTATGTTCACAACTGTTGTCTCAGGTTCAGTGGGAGGACAACCTTCTAGTGTCTTTACTTTGAGGTTAAATATGTTATAGCAATGGGGAGATGTGTAGTGGAGCTTGGTTGGCAAGGCTTCCCAGCTAGTTGGTAAGTGATTATTTCTGGGTATGTCTGCAAGCAAGCTTCCAAGCAAGGTGAACATCTGAATCAGTGTATTTCATAAAGAAGACCCATCTTCCTGGTACAGGTGATGTCAGCCAGTCTGAAGACCAGAGAACACGCCTTTGATCTCTGCTTGAGTCCTGACCTCATCTCTCCTGCCCTTACAGGGTGGCACTCCAGTTTCTAGGGCCTTTGGGTTCAGACATAAACAAGTTCCAGGTTCTGCAGCCTGCATGGTAGATAGTGAGGCAGCCTCCAAGATCTCTAAGGATCAGTTCACCAATAAATGTGCTTCTGCGTATCTCTGCATCGTCATTTCCCTGGAGACTTTTGATTGGTACATGAGAAAAGAACACAGTGGCAGTGAGTTCCAGGAAAGATCTGTACACCTCTCACAGCACCCAACAAAGCCCTACAGCAGAAATCAGCCCAAGGATCCCCTTCTCCTGTGAGAGTATCCTCTATGAACCCCTCACCATCTAGATTTCAAACTTGGCAAGGAATGCACCTGAGAACCAACCCCAGCGATGCTCTACCTGTCTCTGCAGAGCAAGTTCACCATCAAGTTCCTTCAGTTTTCTCTCCAGTTTCCATTTCAGGTTCTCGTACTGCTCCCGCTGGTGGTCAAGTTCACTGTTCTTGTCACTGTGGAAAGCAGACAGGGTGTTCAGAGAGCCACACTGAATGTTCATTGACTGTATACACTGCAGGGGGCACCTCACCCATGGAGCTGGTACATGACTTTTGCAGGACTGCATGCAACAAGCCTCTAAGAAGTAGGACTTCTGCTTGACCTGAACCTGCCTGCCATCCCTAAATGAAGGGACCAACAGCACAGGAGAAAACACAACACAGAACACAAACTGGTTGACAAACAAGAATCAGGAAAAGGACCAGGCATGGCGGTACACACCTTTAATCCCAGCACTTAGGAGGCATACAAGCTAATCAATGTCTTCAAGGCCAACCTAGTCTACATAGTGAATTTCAGGCCAGTCAGGACTATCTAATGAAGTGGAAAGTTAATTATTGAAAGATGCCGACATTTAGAAAAACCAAGGGAAATACAGGGAGTCTCAGCAAAGAGGGAGATACAACAAATCAAACGGAGACTTGATAACTAAAGTACAAATAGAACCCAGGTCACTACCTTGTTTAATCAGGATCCCAGCTCTTGGCAAGCAGAGGCAGGTAGATCTCTGTGAGTTCAAGGCCAGCTTGGTCTACAGAGCAAATTCTAGGACAGCCAGGGCTACATAGAGAAACCCTGTCTCAAACAAACAAACAAATGGAGCCCTGAGGATTTGTGGGGGTAGTTAACAACTGGTGACTGACAAAGTATCTGAACATGACTGAAAGGTCTCAGGTTTGAAGAAAAAAGAAAAGGAGTCACAAAATAACACAAAGCAGCTTCAGCTTCCAAGTGTGAGCTGACATCTGTGCTGAGTCTCCTCTGGACAGTGACTGAGCAGCACTTCCTGACTGAGTCACAGGTGCTACAGAACATCTATTAAAGACCTCCTTGTCTGACACAACATCTCTGCATGTTAGGTGAAACTTGTGGAATGTATTGCTAAAACTCAGCAGCCAACAGCTTCCATCCAACTCTAAAGCTGAGAGTGTCAGCAGATAGCATCTGTCATGCCGGGATAGTGGTACATGCCTTCAGTCCCAGCATTTCAGGAGGCAGAAATAGGCGGATCTCTGAATTTGTGGTCAGCCTGGTCTACAAAGTAAGTTCCAGGGTAGCCAGTGAGATCTTAGGTAAAAAACAAAACAACAAAAACAAAACATGTTGGGCTGAGACCTAAGGAAAAGTTCATAGAGTTCTACTGGGCATCCTGTGGCACATGCACAGCACTCACAGGGCACCAGACACGATCATCTGTAGGGGTCATGCACCTGTGGACACGCTCCAGCTGCAGGCGATGCTCCTGCAGCATTAGCTCATGCTGATGCTGCAGCTCCTCCATGCGCCGGGACTCTCTGGTAAGTTCCTGTTTCAGCTTGGCCACCTCTATCTTGAGCTCACTGGCCTCTGCTTGTTGGACCTCCTCCCGCCTGCGGGCCTGGGTGAATTCGACATCATAGCGCTCCAGCTCGTGGTCCCGCTCTTCCAGCACCTGAAGATTGTAAACAAAGTCCTCCTGGAGGCGCTGTAGCCTCCCTTGTGCCTCCTCCAGGCGGCTCTGAGTAGCCTGAAGAGCTGCCTCCTGCAGCTGTGCGCGGTGGGCCTGGAGGGCTCGACATTCCTCCTCCTTTCGAGCCAAAAGCTCACTCAGTTCCCTCTCTGAGCCCGGCGGCAGCATGGTGACAACTGCAGCAAAGAAGGAAACAAGTAGCACACCATTAGGGACTCTGAATCAGAAAAACTTATTTATTTATGTATTTATTTTTGTTTTTTGTTTATTTTGTTTTTGTTTTTTGGGTTTTGCTTTTTGTTTGTTTGTTTGGTTGGTTGGTTTTGGTTTTTCGAGACAGGGTTTCTCTGTGTAGCCCTGGCTGTCCTGGAACTCACTCTGTAGACCAGGCTGGCCTCAAACTCAGAAATCTGCCTGCCTCTGCCTCCCAAGTGTTGGGATTAAAGGCGTGCGCCACCACCGCCCGGCTTGCTTTTGTTTTTTTGTTTTTTTGTTTTTTTGTTTTTTTGTTTTTTTGTTTTTTTCTTTTCTCCGTCTAGCTTGTTTGTTCTGGAACTTACTCTGTAGACCAGGTTGGCCTTCAACTCTCAGAGATCCACTTGCCTCTGTCTCCCACATGCTGGGATTAAAGGTGTGTGCCACCAGTGCTCAGTTATAAAAGTAATTTTAGTGTCTGCAGAGGGGATGGATCCTAGGTGGGGCAGTCTCTGGATGGCCTTTCCTTCAGTCTCTGCTCCACTCTTTGTCCCTGCATTTCCTTTTGACAGGAGGAATTCTGGATTAATATTTTTGAGGTTGGTGGGTAGCCTCATCCCTCAACTGTGGGCCATGTCTATCCACTGGATATGATCTCTACAGATTCTATCTCCCCTTTGTTAGGGATCCCTGCTCCACTTAGGGATCCATCTCATCTGCAGACACAAAGCCCAGACACTATTGCTGATACCAAGAAGTGCATGCTGACAGGAGCCTGATATAGCTGTCTCCTGAGAGGCTCTGCCAGAGCTGGACCAATACAGATGTGGATATAGGCAGCCAAACATCAGACTGAGCACAGGCACCCCAATGGAGAAGTTAGGGCAAAGACTGAAGGAGGTGAAGGGGTTTCCCCATTGGAAAGAACAACAATATCAACCAACCAGACTCCCCAAAGCTCCCAGGGACTAAACCACCAACCAAAGAGTACACAGGGGGTACCCATGGCTCCAGCTGTATATGTAGCAGAGGATTGCTTTACCTGGCATCAGTGGGAGGGGAGCCCCTTTGTTTCTGTGGTGGCTTGATGCCCCAGTGGAGGGGAATGCTAGAGCACTGAGGTGGGAGTGGGCAAGCAGGTGATGGAGCACCCTCACAGAGGCAGAGGGAAGAGAGAGGGGATAGGGGTTTGTGGAGGGGAAACTGGGAAGGGGGATAACATTTGAAATATAAATAAATAACCAATAAAAATAAAATAAATTGCCGGGCGGTGGTGGCGCATGCCTTTAATCCCAGCACTTGGGAGGCAGAGGCAGGCGGATTTCTGAGTTCGAGAGTTCGAGGCTAGCCTGGTCTACAGAGTGAGTTCCAGGACAGCCAGGGCTACTCAGAGAAACCCTGTCTCGAAAAACCAAAAAAAATAAATAAATAAAATAAAATAAAATAAAATAAATTTTAGAAAAAGATACAATATACAAGTCCAGTGGTTTTTGAGATGGAGTCTTGCTAAGTTGCCCAGGCTAGCCTTGAATCCTCAATCCTTTTTTAGCCTCCTGAATAGCTAAGGTAATAGATATGAACCACTGTGTCTGGCTAAAGTCTTAATTTTTAAAAAATTAGATCCAACATTATATAAAACTACTTTGCCAAATAGATAACAAATCTTTAAAAACCACTTACTGAGCCAGGCGTTGGTGGCGCACGCCTTTAATCCCAGCACTTGGGAGGCAGAGGCAGGCGGATTTCTGAGTTCAAGGCCAGTCTGGTCTACAGAGTGAGTTCCAGGGCTATACAGAGAAACCCTGTCTCAAAACAAAACAAAACCCCCGGCGGGGGGGGGGGGTTGTTCTTTTCTGTATATAGAGCCATTTTCTTGGGGCTCCTGGCTTTATTTATACAGCTAACCCAAGGCTGCTCACAGGGAAGTATATAAGGTCAACAGTGGCGGGCACCATCACCTAGGCACAAGAGCCAAGTGTGAGCAAGGGGAGGCAAAAGAGTTCATCTCTGATGTCACCATCGGATTCCAACTGTCTTTCCCAGGGCACATGGAGGCTTCTGCAGTAACAGTTTTGTATCACTGTCACCCCAAAGAAGGTGGCAGCATGACTCTCTGTAAGTGAGTCTTCTTTAGAAAGAAAAGCACACTGTCCTGGATCACTTTAACTTACTAGTCTTATGTATATTTACAGAGAAGGTGAAAATAATCATGGCCAACACCCTGAGATAGCCCATGGCCAGCACCCTGAGATAGCCCAGAGTGAAGGTAATGTAGGTTGCCTCGCTCTATTTGAATCAACAATGAGCAGGTCGTCACAGACATAAAACTCAAAAACAGGGATTGCTTTTGTGTCTGCTATATGTCTGTGGGGGCATGATGTATGTGTTGAGTGTGTGTATGTGCGTGCTAAGTGTTGTACTGTAGTGTGTGTGTATGAGAGTGTGGTGCTGTGAAGGTTTGTGAGTATATTATAGCATGGCCTGTATATGGTATAACGTTGGCGAGGTCACGTGAGTATATTATAGCATGGCCTGTATATGGTATAACGTTGGTGAGGTCACGTGTGCTATGGTGTGCATTTACATAAACTCCAGAGTTCCTAAGCCAGTAGCTGCTCTCTATATACAAAATACTACTTACAGAAAATGTAACTCATGAAATTATTGACAAGAAGAACTAGTCACAGTCAAGCTGGAGAGATGGCTCTGTGGTTAAGAGTACTCACTGCCCTTGTAGAGGACCCGATTTCTTTGCCAGCACCCACATGACAGCTCATAAGCATTTGTAACCCTAGTTTCAGGGGCTCTGATGCCTTCCTCTGGAGTCTACAGGTTCCTTCATATACATGGTACACTTAAAACTTCCACAAGAAAATACACAGACATAAAAAATAAATGAACAAAGTTTAAAATTACAGTCCAAATCATTATATATCACCAGGACTGAAAAACCAAGAGTGCATCTCATAGGAAAGAAGAGGTTTTCCATCAGACAGTGGGCACAGCTCTGTAACAGGTCTTACTGAATCACCTAAGACAGGGTCTGGCAGGTACTCTGTAACGGACCAGCATATCTGCTAGGAGCTTTGGGCCACTCAGCAACTGTACAACCCTAGCCCTGTCCTGTTGCTCTTACACAGAGAGGCTTCTATCAGCATGTAGGGGACAAGCATGACAAAGCTTCTCAAAGCTGGTCAGGGTCCCCAACCCTTTAGGGGTCCCAGCATCGGCTGTAGAGAGACACAAACAAAACACTGGTTATACCAAGTCCCTGACTTTAGAGGAGGGCACAGTGGCACAGTGAGTCTGAGCGCAGCCACAAAGAACCAAAGTTGGAGCAAGGGACCCCCTAGGTGCATCCAGAAGAGGCTGGTCTACCAGTGACAATCACTGTAGGTCCCAGAACTCCTCGAGCATCCTGAGATGGAGTCCCTGTAGCAGACTACGGTCTGTGTCAGCTTTGTTCATCCTGTTGTTTACCTGCCATAAGTCCTAGCTCCACCACCCATCACAGCTGCCTGGCTTCTCAGAACTGCCACAGCCATCCTTCACTGGAGCTCAGGAGATGCTCATTGCCTGCCTGCTGCCTGGCTGCCTGGCTGCCTGGCTGCCTGCTGCCTGGCTGCCTGCCTGCCTGCTGCCTGCCTGCCTGCCTGCTGCCTGCCTGCTGCCTGCCTGCCTGCTGCCTGCCTGCCTGCCTGCCTGCTGCCTGCCTGCCTGTCTGCCTGTCTGCCTGTCTGCCTGCCATCCACCCCATAGCTCTGCTCAGTTCCTGCATCCTGCACAATCGTCTGCTCATCTCACTAACGGGCCTGAGTCTTCACTGCCTCATCCCTGATGCCTACACCTTGGCTGCCTCACATTCCTGCCACCAGACCTCCCCTGTCACAACAGTCTACACTCTCAGACTGTGAGCCAAGAGACCTTCCTTCCTTAAATGCTCTTCTCAGAGCAAAGAGAAAAGTAACAAACATGCCCCATGGCTACCAGAAAAATCCTTTAAGATGCCTAACTGAGGTGGCCTAGAGTGCTGGAACCACCTAAGCCATTCAACTACTACGTGTCTTTTCAGTGCACCAGCTGCATGGCTTCCGGTTGTTAGTGTTCTGATATGGAAATCTGATTGTGTGATACCATTATGCTTAACATCTGCTGTAGCTTCTGGAAATTTCAAATACGTTTTATCCTTTGGGACTGCATCCTGAGACCCCTGGGCTGGAGTCTGCTGCAGCACTCTCTGACTTCTAGCTGCTCCCAGAAGGCCTAAGGCTGATACTTTTGTTCCTGGGCACAGAACATGTTACTCTCTACCTAAAAGGCCTTCTAGTTGGTTTTGTTTTTGTTTTAACTGGGGCAATTTCTTACTGCTAGGTTTTTGAAACTCAGCAGGTCACCATGGATGAAGCTTCTGTCCACCTAGTCAGGCAGTGGGTACTTATCCCTGTCATTTCCTCTTTGACCTCCTGACCAGGTAGACAGTGTGGCACCCTGTGCTCTTCAGTGAAACTGGGGTCTCTCTGTGTAGACAGCAACTTGGGGAGCAGAGGGCAAATGATGTAACACACCATCCAGGGAAAGAGACAAGCTTCTGCAAGTCTCAGAGCCCACCGGCTCAAGCGTCCCTTGATTCAAGGGATTGGTGCCCCACACCCCCTCCATGTTCATCTCCTTCTAACACACTACAGAACACCTGTCCTACTTCTGTACAAATTTCATCAAAGGATGATCCCAAAAGTTCCGCATGAGGCTAATCATCTTCAAGCACCGCAGGGCTAGAGTGTCCAGCTAGTCTGTCTGCCAGCTAACAGCTGTCCCTACAAAGCACCTGGTTTTCTCAGGGGAGCTACAGAAGCCTCTGGAGGAAGTGGGGCCCCACTGACAGCAAGACTTCATCTGCAATGTTCATGGTGTCTAGGAGACTCTGCCAACAGTGCAGCATTGGGCAGAGGAGCACATCCATTTTGTTATTCCCTCCCTCCCT